CCCCCCCACCGTCATGGGCACCCATTATCCGGAGGGGTCCCGCGAGAGAGAGAGGGAGAGATAGAGAGAGGCTGAGCAGACGTAGCGTCAGTCGCGTGCGTTTGGCCTGGAAAACACTATTACTAGTATACTAGTGCGTCAGAGAACTCTTAGTAGCCAGAAATGTGCTTCAAGTCGGAAAATCGACAGCACTTCCACCGCCCGCTTACGCGTTCCATGGGACTTTCGTGGGCAGTCTCGGATTTCGCAGCATGCATGTGTTTGCCTAATTGGCTGAAAGGAGGGGGGAAGGGACATCATGCAGGGCGAAATATCTCAGCCCTATGCAATCCCCCCTTCAGGACGCGGTGTGATGACTTGTTTTGCGCAGTACCGACCGTAGTGGATTAATTTAATTGGAGGAGTAAGGTGCCACAGGGCAATGGCTTCGCTGTAAGAGGTAAGAGGCGGGCTTTGCGAGAGCGCATGCTAGATGTACGTAGATGGTTTCGGAGAATGAGAGTGGGGAGAAATCACGGCAGAGGAACACGCGAAATGCTATATCACCACCGTGCGTTACGTTGGCCATTTGCCATGTTAGTATCGAGCTTGAAACGTCGAGTCAAACTGCTACCACAAGATGTTTGTGGAAATGTTGCTTTTTTTTCTCTTTGTTCCTCCCCGTTCCTAGGAAGGGTGATCTGAATATGGAAATGGTCGTTCGTGAACCTAGTGTGCTGGGGCAGACAGATACGGAGATCCCGATTGTCGATCAGCCGGCGAGGACGGAGATTCAAACGCCGATGCCATGCTTACTCTTGAACGAGATCATCGCTAAAGGACACCACTTACAACACATTCCATGACTTGCACGTGTCACCATCGGTGGCCTTGAAGTAAGTAGGTATGCCTACGTAACATGGTCCTCTCTCATTACGTGGCATGCATATCGTCAAGACTAATCAAGACGCGAAGAATGCGTTTCTCCAAGATTGTACACGTACACATGAGAAGCGACACTGTGTTCCGTGTGCTAAGTCGCATTCAATCACATTGTGGCTACGATTCCAATCTGGGAAAGGCTTGGTACATATGTGCCGGATTGCTTGCATCTGAGTGCCGGGTTGTATGCAGCAAGAGCCGAATGAATTGCTTCTGTGGAACGTGTGAACTGCACTGGATGCTTCAGAATGTCGTCACACTGCATGCAGAATGTAGGGAACAAGGGTTCTCGCTCTGCCCTCTCAAAAATGTGTCCATTGCCGGAGGCTGACTATCCTCTAATTCACATCCGGTAATCGCACGGCGATATCGCCTGACTGTGTGATGTAGCGCACCCAGGGCAATGATGGGTATTGCAGCTGTGCCGGTGTTAGTAATCCATCTGCGAAGCCATCCACCAAGTGAACTTACCTTGGGCTCGATAATCTTCAAATACCGCACTTGGATACCAGAAGTAGTAAAGTACGGGATCTCAAACTTGACATTGATGGGCCTCTTTGCTTTGCCCGCGCCGACGCCGCCCATACTGCCACCAAAGCCACCCATCATACCACCGCCCTTCTCGTCGTCACCGCGGACAGACGGCAGGCCTAGTTCAGCGCGCATGAGGAATTCCTTGCCACCTCCAAACTGCTTGATCTTCCACACAATGGAGGATGTTTCTGGTGCGTAGTGGACCGTGCCGATGTTTGTTCGGAACCGTGGTGTGTCTGCGTCTTCTGGAACGGGTATCGAAATTTGGACATTGTTCGCTGTACTTCGTCGCTTAAACTGTGCTCGCGCCTGAAACGTGTTAGCATAGCGTTCTTATCGTGGAAGCGCAAATGCTTACCTTCAACATGTATTCTATTCTGCTGCCCGAGTGGCTCTCTACTATGCACTCGACCCAGATGAGGGGCTTGACTTGTGTGTTTAATCGGTAGCTCATGAGCTCAAACTCACCGTCCGGCGGAATGAAGCTGATTGTTCGATCGTTTTCAAATCTTGATAAGCGCACACATTGGTGGAACTTGACGTCCTCCATCTCAACGGCCTTTCCTCGAGTGGCTCTTCCTGTGCTCTCAAACATGGCCTTGTCGTTCAATCCCAGCCGTAGTTCAGGCATACCTGAGAGGTAGCACTTCATCTTGACAGCACCCAGAATTTCTGATCGCAACACGCTGCCGGTCGCAGAGACGAGTAGATTGAGAGATTCGATAACATCGAGGAAAACTTCGTTCTTGCGGTATCGAATGCCTTCGCTTCGCCAGCTGACGGCGTTTGTGACTGCAATAGGCGGCCGTGCAATTTCGAGCTTGTGGGATTCTTGAGTGATGTACCTGCGCAGAAACTATGTCAGGAACGAATCGCATGATCAGAAGGCGGGGATCATACTCTTGCAAGATCTTTGTTTCGGTCGTTTGTGGGTATCCAAAGTCCATCATCTCATCCAGCAGCTCGTAGATGACGACAAAGTTATCCCTTATGCTCTCCTCCTCAAGCTCCTTGAAATACTCTGTAAAGACCTCGACAACCTTGTGCAAGAACAGGAGAATCTCGGCGGCATTTGTGTTGCGTTTTGTGAGGGCGAGAAGGTAGAGGTTGTTGTGGCGGATGTAGAGGTAGTTGATACCTTCGCTGGAAAAGCATGGTGGGACGGCCGAGCTCTCGTCTTCGGCCTCGCTGAGTAGGACAGGAAACTTTTCGACGGCCGACATGGGAATATCTCCCCTGTAGTTGCGCGCCAAAAGGGTCTATGTACTCGTTAGTATACAGCATCACTCTGGCCTTGACCGCCCTACCTTGCCCTTGAGGTCGAGAAAGAAGACGGCCGACGCCATTGTGTGAAATTGTAGATACTGCAGGGACGAGGAGAGAAAAAGGGCAGCTATCTAAGCATCATGCGCGGTCAAAGTGCAATTGAGGGGTATCGATGCCTTGTCCTGTCGCGTCTTGGTGATGCCAGAGTACGTGCGGCTCTTCCCGTCTGCCAAGACCCCTCCAAGCGCTAGCCTCCTTTGGACCCCGGTACTCTATTCTTACACGGTAGAGCTCAAGACAGACATTATGCATTCAGACACAATCTTTACAGCTTAATAAGATCTGCACCCAAAATGGCTCTCACTCCCAGGTAGATTCCATCTTGGAGATATAAGCAATTGAGTCAATGTGCCGTACCTCGGCGCTCCAGCGGAGTCTCGTGCTACACTTGATCACTGGTATCCTCTTCGATGTTACAGAACCAAGAGTTATTTCCAATACATATATCGCTAGCGTTTAATCATAGACCATATGGCACCTTTTACATACTCTCACAGTACTTGTGTGGATGTGAGGGGCAATTCTGCGAATCCAATGGCAAAGATTACCACACGAGGAACTAGTTCTATGCAGTTCAAGGTACTTACTGCATGGTCCCCATGTAAGATACGGTCGAAACCCGCAACCTCAAATTATAACGGAAGCGTTACATATTCCTTGTCTGGTATCGTGCCCGTTCAATATTAACGTGCCGCGAAAGTGTGTTGCCTTGATCACAGGGACTGTAGCTGCTCAGGAATCATATCATCTCATTTACTCATATTTACGTAGTACCTGAACCCCTACTATATTCACAATGTCTAGAAATGTTCTCGATGAAGCATTTACACTCCACTTCTATACTCCCCTCGGCATCACCTGCGCTTTCATCACGTGTGCACAAACAGTCCGCCCCGCTCGCTTTCACACCTGCGGAAGGAGTGAGCAAGCAGCTGCTTGGCTATATCACCTCTACCAAGGCTCCTCTCTGATTCAAACACACTTGCTGCAACCAGCTCCTAAATACAACCTAAATGCTACAGATATGTCGCATCAGTCAAATGAACGCAGTTCGCAAATACGCCACGCGCAGGTCCATGAGCAAGGTGAGCGTTCAACTCTTGGTGAAATCAGTTGCTCGACTGCTTGCTGTTTCTATAGCGGTACTTTCCTACTGACGCAGGACAGCGGCGTATCAGCGAGTGCGTCTGCGAATGCGCATCCTTGAAGATGTGTGCAGGCTCGCAAAAGAAGACGGTCAACTAGAGAACGTACTGTGCATAGCCCCGGATATGCTGCGTAGACTTGAGAAGCATCGATTCCCGTATCCGTCGCGTCTCGAGGGTTTGAGTGATGCACGAGTTGTTGAGGAAGCTACTGCCGCTCGAAAGTGGCTGTTTGCCGTACTCGGTTGTCAAATCAAGGTCATGCCGCGGGAGCAAGAGATGCGGACGATCAAGCTCGCTGTGGGAAAGCAACTCAAAGGTCAACAAGGAGACTGGAGCGAGAAGGAGCGGCTGTATATGGCTCTCACAGACTACAGCCTCCCTTCACGCGAGAGCCGTTTGCAGGCTGGATTCATGGTGGTGCTGCATCGTAATCTCGCAGAACATCTGCAGGATGTTGTCAAGCTTGGTGCAGTATATACCGAGCGCCTCCAGCGCTTGTCAGATGAGGCGGCCGACTTCCTAGACACGCTAACGCATATTGCGGACAAAGCAGAGTCCATCGTAGTCGACCACTTTGCTTGCGCTATACCCTTGGCGCAGCTTGCTACTACTGCGAATGACACACCTGCTATCAGTGATGACAGTGCTGCGTGTTGTCCAATATGCCAGAATCCCTACACCGCCCTCTCCGAATTCCCGATCTACGAGCTTCTGGACGACTATCCAGTGCGGATCAAGCACTGTGGGCATGTTGTCGGCAAAGCTTGCCTTGAGCAGTGGATGATGACGCCAAAAATCGACGAGGCCAAATACCCCCACCGCACATGTCCACTGTGCCGGGTCAAGGTGGAAGGGGTAAAGCCTCCGGAGACGCCCCGAGCTTTGAAGAAGCATTTCCAAGACGACCGAAGAGCCATGGAAGCTCTATTTGAGCTGATCTATGGCTTTGGTGTGGAGGTGGAAGACTGCATGAGTGCTGTGACTAAGTGCATGAGCGAGGAGATTGCATGCATTGAGCTTTCGACCGTGGTTGCACGCAACGGCAGCAACGAGGAGCAGTGCGAAGTGCTAAAGAAGAAGCTAAAGGAATTGCAGAAGGAGAAGCGGGTATGGGGCTTTAGGGGAGATGGAGTATGGAGCAGGCTGAGGGAAGAGTGGATGAACAGCGGCGTTGTCCGAGGGGCATGAGGCATTTTCCTCTGGCACCATAATCCTTCGATCAACGACTTGTGGTGGATAGGCAGCTGTACCGTGATGTTTTGAGGAATGATAAAGATGGGTCAGGTCAGAAGACAAGGGACACCGGTGTATGGGAGTGGGTGTTGGGATGGCCCTAGATGGGAAATATGGTGTCTCCACCCGTCCGTTGAGGCAGTGCAAGAAACTAGTTGACGAGCCATTTTCAACAAGAGCGTCCAACTCGTTTTGTGCATATGTCCATCTTTCCAAGCCGATCCGCTCAATAGCCAAGAAAGCAGCGGATCTGCAGCGGACATGAAAGAACGCATCAAGTGATCAGGAAGCGTCTAGAGTTGATGGACGGAGGAGGGCCTGGAATGCCAGGCACTGTTGCATGACCTGCTCGTATGGGCGGCTCCGCTTGCAACAGACTCTATGTACTAAGCATACACGCACACGAGCACAGGATTGCTCAACGCGGACAATCTCCCCAGGCGCAAAGCGTAAAGGCCATGGTGGCTGGGCGCGGGGAATGGAGGCATCCGGTGCCCTGCCTGGACCCTCGTTTTGTTCCGCAGACCCCACCGTGCTGACCCCCTCACCCCCAGATTCCAGCGCGTATGTCGAGTGAGAGATAAACTAAATTCCGTTTGAGGCTGAGTCGAATATTGTTATCGTGCAGTAATCGAGTCTGGGCGCGGGCAACCCCCGGATTGGACCCACGCAGCACAGGGTACACCTGTTGAGCGGGCGTATGACGTCGGGGCTGTGAAGTCGCGTATAGGTGCATCACGCGAATTGCCACAGGCAGTCCCTGGGCATGGCTTGGCCCTATGACGACTTATGATTGTTTGTAAAAGCAAACGCGACCTCCTCCTTTTCTCAGTTCAAATCATTCCATTCGCATTCGACAATTCCCACTCCGCAAAAAACAAACTCCACAAGCCACAGCCGTCCACTATGAGCGTCAACGTAATTGACGTCGGCGTCAGTAGGGTGCGTGCCTGGCCCCTTGCATGCTACCATTGCCGGCATGCCCATTGCCCCAATCGGCATTCGCTAACCTCCCCCACAGATTCCTGGTGCCCGCGAACACCAGGAAGACAGATACATCACTCTCCTCCCCGGCTCCATCAAATCTCGCAAAGACCTCGCCATCTTCGCAGTCTACGATGGCCAGTAAGTCCCCTGTCAAACACTAGCCACTGTGGCGTTGAGGCTGACTGTTCGGCCCACAGCGGAGGCACAGAGGTCGTGAACCATGTGGCGCAGCATCTCCACACACATCTAGAACAGCAATTGACACATCCGAAAGCATCGACTATTGCAGAGTACAAGCATGCAATCCAGTGCGCGCTAAAGGCTGTAGATCGTGAACTTGATCAGGCTGACCTGCATGGCGGCTCAACTGTAACCCTGGTCCTCGTTGACACTAAGCAAAATCTCCTCATCCAGGCAAACCTAGGCGACAGCCATTGTTACTATGCCGTGCATGAGGTCCGCTCTCCACAATCGCTCTCCCCCCATTCGCCCGCACGGTCAGACTCGAGTATGGGCTGGAGTGTTGAAGCCCTAAGCGTAGAACACACCCCAGATAGCCCGTTGGAGAAGCGAAGAATAGAAGAGTCGGGCGGCGCCATCAACTACACATCCGGTATCGCCCGTATCGGCGGTGTCAGCATGTCGCGTGCGCTCGGCGACCTCGACTTGAAGAAGCCACGCGTCAACCGCCTCGCTGGCCATGATCTTTCAGATCTGGTAGGAGTAGAAACTGGCCTTGCACCAGGAAAGGCTGCAAAGCACGACCTCGTGTCCAACAAAGCTCATTTCTCCGTACGAACGCTCAACGGCCAATCCCTTCTCCTTTTAGCATCTGATGGTGTTGGTGGAGCGCGCGAGGCAGAAGTAGCCGCGCAGTTGGCTGTAGACAGGTGGCAACAGGGCAAGGAAGCAAAGGAAATTGCCGAGGAACTGACACAAAAGGAGGGCCAAATGAAGGGTGCAGACAATTGCACAGTTATTGTGGTGGTGCTGGACACAGAGAACAAGGGTCGCAGGAGTATAGACAGCGGGAGAAGGAGTTTTGACGTTTCCTCAGAACGAAGTAGGTCGAGGCGACGAAGACGGTCTAGCATTTCGAGCTTGAAAGACTGGATCCGTGACCTTTAAGCTGCCGGTGCCACATCGGACTTCTATTCATTGCCAATAAAGATATGGATATTGTTAAGGGAGGGACGGGATGGAGGTGTTCTTCTTTGAGCTGCTCAAAAATCATGCAGGCCATGAGAGCGTATCCGGCGTATGTAGGCGCATCAAAAGCGTCCGTATTCTCGTGTAACTTATACTGCATTTTGCATCATAGCATCGATAACGAGAAATGAATGAAAAATTCAAAAAGTGAATAGTCTATGGTTCCGTACATGATCGCTGAATGTCTCCTTCATCCCTGAATTAAGCAGGAATCACTCCAAGAAGTGAAACTTGGTCGTCTTCACACATCTTATCTAATCTCCTTCTTTCGCCTTCAAATAGCATGGTAAATAGATCTCTATTTTATCATCCCTTTCAGGCATTGTCTCCGCTAATAATAAACGGGTATGTGAGGTATAAGTGATTACAAGTTCTACTATCGTGGACGGGAATTGTTGAAGGCGGAGCTGTCCGTATCGTCGCGGGTAGCGTCAGTATCACAGATAGAAAACAAAGGCACGAGAAAAGAATTAGAACTTGGAAGATTTACATATCCCCTTCTACCGTACTCGGAAACTCCCATTTTATAGTCCAACTGACCGGCTCGTAGTGTTAGTATAAGGGTCGCGAGCGACCCTGTGCCACCGGGTACGATAAGGGCTCTGCGGTAGTTGTCCTTGCGCCGTTATAAATGCCCTCTACAACCTCACACTGATATCATACAGTAAGAAAATTAATTAATGAGATTCTAATAATAGTTAACTCTCGTGTTCATATGCCGTCTATTCAAGTGTATTTTGAAGGTTGAGTAGCGCTTACAATATATGAATACCTAGGATTGTTCCAGCCGTTTGCTTACATTAGTAAAGTATATCAAGGATTTTCCAAGAAATTTATTTTGTGTTGACTTCATTCTTTCGAAAGATGCATTATTTCAAAGTTTTTTCATGGACACGTTACTCATAGCCAGGTAAAGTTCATACCTATATAAACACACAACTAACACGCAACAAATCCAACTCTATTGTTTACCTGAGTTACCTCTTTAAATTACAATACTACATATCTCTCAAAAATGGTGTCATCTTTGAGGCACTACCTCCAATTCTTAGCTATACTATGCTTTGCTTCTTTTCCTTTGGTGAATGCGTTTCTCGCCGAGGAGGGAACATTGGCTGGAGATGATTCCGGTGTACCACCAACCCCCTTCAACGAAGCAGCACTCTTAGCAGTTCTTGATCAATCAACTGATCAGAAGTCCCCAGCAAATCTTTTCAAGCGAAACAGTGACTCTCAACATCGCTCCAAAAGGATCCCAATTCCCTTTACAGGGGATCCTAACCCTCAACCAAATGGGGATTGTCAGCCACTTAGTGGGCATTATGCTGAGAGTGCTGACGACATACTTTGCAATCAAAAACATGGAACCGCGACGCTTTCCTACGCATCTCGCCGCTCTTTGTGCAGTAACGGAGGTAGACGAATAATCGAGTGTCAACTTTGCTACGGCCTTGGAGTTGCGTTCCCTTCCGTAAGTGCTTCTTCCTTCACAGTACTACTTTATTTATCCGAGATATAAAGCTATACTCCCCTACTTCCGTACCTCTTTTGCTACTTCTAACTTTGCGGTATAAAAATAGGCTATCTACGTCGAATACCAAACTTGCGGTGGAACAAAAACATGTGCACAAGGCGAAGGGCGATACAATCGATGGGGAAGACTGGAGCCGTTCAGCGAATGTGTCCCTACAAATACGATTTTCAGAGCCATCATCGCAAAGGGAAGTGCTCTGCGGGAATATTGCACTAGCAAATTTACGTTTTCGTCCGCTGGAGGTGGACAAGGCAGAAACTTTGCTTTCAAGTCTCGGCTTTACAATAGCGATACGGGCGAACGGGAGCCGGCAAAGTGGATGTATCTCAAGATAGATGGGGCGTATGCTCGATCGGCCCAAAGCGTCGAGGACTGGTCTACTACTTACAAGATCAACCAGAATGATAAGGCTGAGATGTGTGCCTATCCATTGGACACGGGAATGAATTTGGAACTGGACTGGTCGGCTTCCTTTGCTTAGAGTATACTCTTTTTTCCTCTATTTTACTCGGGCACACCGGCTGCTGTAGCAGGATTTCCAATGGAATTGCCACGCGCTTTGCACGCGTCCATCTTTCACCTCAACCGTAAAGATGACCTCTGGTAACAATATATCCCAATCGTAAATTTTACTCTAAATACACATAGTTATAATAATAACCTTTATAATCTCAGATATTAGAGAAATATTGTCAAAGCACTCCCTAGTGAGATAGCATCGAATTAGGGCTGTTAACGTAGTTACTACTGTCGCTTTGTCGCTATTGCTTGCATTAATTTCACCGTTTAGTAGTATCGAAATCGATATCCTTACGATACTTGGAGCTGCCATTTTGCAGTATCTATTCCCACTTTACAAAGACCTGAGTGTCGTAGTTATTGTCGTTAGCGTTCATGTGTCGCCAGCGCGCAACATCGTGCTGTTTTGTGATACCTCCTTCAAATCCCCCAAACTGCCTTCCTCTCCCCCTTCACCCTCCCCCTTCCTCACGTCTCCTTCCCCTCCAAAAGTCCCTCTGCATCTATCTTGCCACAAACACCGCCATCGGACATTCGCACCTCGACTCCGGGGTGCGAAACGGTGTTTATGTTCCGGTTATGTGGGCGAAGTTCGACTCGGTGGTTAATGCGGGGGCGGGAATGCTTTTTGCAGTGGATAATGAGTCGCCTACGCAGATTATTTTGCAGGAGAGAGGTGGTGGTAGTGGTGGTGGTGGGGGGAAAGGACAAAGTGCGACGTTGCCGGAGTTGAAGTATTGGTCTGATGTCGTGTTTCTGCAGTGGCAAATTGTTACGGGGAAAAAAGCGAATTTACAGTTCGTAGTCAGACTCGGGATTACAAATCAGGCTACCCTCGATATTCTGGAGCAAGTTTTGCGGAAAAAACGGGTATGTGTATGAGGAGGGGGTGGTGGAGGTGGAGAAGGATGTTGTTTTGAGGGTAAAGGAGTATGAGGAGAGTGTGACGGCAATTCTGGGGACGCCGAATGGGAGTGGAGTGGCGAGGTTGCTTTTGCATCATAAGAGGGAGTTGAGGCATAAGGTTGCGGAGGAGGTGAGGTTGGTGAGGTGGAAGGGAGCCGAGTTTGGTGTTTCGGATTGGGAATGTGTATGGGGAGGGGGATGGGGGGAGTCAGGAGACAGTTAGGGGTGGGAGTATTTTGTAGGAGTAGAGAGTGATTATTTTTATGGTTAAGTTTTAGTGGGTTTTGTTATACTTCGGCGTTGTTTTGGATGAGTTATGATGTACTGATGTGTAACTGGGACTTCGTGAAGTGGGCGTCAACTAGTTCTTTAATACAAAAAGTCTTTTGTCTTCGATCTCTCAACAGATAGTAGATCCCATGGTCACTTTCTTCCCCCAGTAACTTGCCCAACATCCACCCTGGACCTATCCTCCTGCCCATTCTCCTTCACACTTCGCTCAACACTATCAAGCAAACTCTCGATCCCGGTCTTAACACCCACATCACTGCTACCCTCGTACTCTTGCTTCGTATTTTGCGTCACGTCTTCCCCGCGACGCTGTTCAGAGGTATCTGAGGCATTTTGTTGGCTGTATGAAGACTAAATGTAAATACTTAGTATGTATGTATGTAAATAGAAATGTCACGTGAAAATCAAGCAGAATGGTACAACAATGTAGATGATGAGACGTACCTTATCCACTGAAGTACTCAAACCAGCAGGATCATTCGAACCCCCAGTCTTGAATGGGACGCTGGGATCGCCTTTAAAAGTGCCGGATGTGTCGTCGCCAGGATTGACGGGGTTCTGGGGTTGTGTGTTGGAAGATTCTTGGGCGGTGAGGGAAGACCTTGTGGACTTTTGTGGTTGAGGATTCTCAATATTTGGAAGTTGGACTTTATTCGGCTTTGTAAATCTGAAAAATGAGTTTTGGGCGTTTTTGAGTATTCTAGAAGGTTAGGTTTTGGTAAGATGTAGTTGTGACGATGTTGCGGGTTAAACGTCATAGTGACCAACGTGTGGAGGGACCCTGAGATCAAGAATTCATCGCTTAGAAAGGTATAGTTAAGCGAATGAAAATCACGTCTTGACATGAATTGTTATATTTCAGATGAATTCTTTGTGAACATCCAAAATTGTTAATATGCGGTATAACTACAGGCTATTTTCTAAGCAAGATCATCGCTTCAGATAACAAAATCTATTGTCTAGTCCTCTACAACTTGCTCTTGGCAACCGAAGCATCCTCAGAAACAAAAAGCGATTGTGACTTCTTCATCGTCTCGATGGCTTCCCGCTCAATGCGGCTAATAAGCTCCTCGTTGGTGGGGATATCGTGGATCAGTCCAATGACTTGACCAGCAGTCCAGACCTGAGAATATCAGTATTCATCCAAGCAGAAAGGCGCATTGTAAACTTACACCAAAGTCCTTGTCACCATTCAGGAAGACCTGTCGGCCACGCTTGCCGCTCACAAACTCGGCTACCTCCTCGAACTTGCCCGTTGGGCTGGTCTTCTCAACATTGACAGCCTGCAGAGCAACCTTGTTGGCGAACAAACGGGAGGTGTTCTTCCATCGTCGAAGCACCAAAGTAGTGTCTGTTTCCTGAGCATCTACGATGGCTTGCTTGATGTTCTGGTGGATAGGAGCCTCAACGGTACACATGAATCGGGTGCCCATGTTGATACCGCACGCGCCGAGGGCAAGCGCGGCAGCCAAACCCTGACCATCGGCAAAGCCTCCTGAAGCGATGAACGGTACGCCGAGCGACTGGCGGGCTCTGCTGAGCAGAATGAAGTTGGTAATGTCCGTCTCGCCAACGTGGCCGGCGCACTCGAAGCCGTCAATGGATAGGAAGTCAACACCAAGCTTGACAGCAGACTGTGCGTGCCTGATGGTAGTGCACTTGTGTAGGATGATTGTGCCAGCAGCTTTCAGTTGCCTGATAACTGGGCCAGGGCTGTTTCCTGCCGTCTCGACGATGTTGACCTTCTCCTCGATGATGACACGGGCGTACGCGCCATAGTCCGGAGGAACCATGGCGGGAAGGAGGGTCAGGTTGACGCCAAAAGGCTTGTTAGTCATGGTTCGGCATCTCCGGATCTCCTTGCGAAGGTCTTCGGGGGTCGGTTGGGTGAGGGCGGTCAACTACGGGTATGGTAAGGAGCGGCATCTTGACATGGTGATGCGATGTATGCCTACTATCCCAAGACCACCTGCGTTGCTGACAGCCGAAGCAAGCTCAGCGTATCCCACCCATTGCATACCTCCCTGCACAACGGGCACTGTTCACTGTTAGCAACCATACGTCCGAGTCGCAGTCGGAGGTGAACGTGCGTACCTCTGATGCCAAGGGCCCTCGTAAGTTCGGTGTTAAAAGGCATGTTGGGCGCACAGTTGGGTCACAGCAAAAGTCAGTGACGGGTATAAAAGATGAAGCGACTGCTGAAAACAAGAACGTGGGAAGAAAGATATCTAAAACGTGGAGGCGCGACCTGGAGACGCTCGCGCCAGTTGGGGCATGTCAGGTCGTGTGGGGAAGCCATGTGCCTCGGCAACTCGGGCAGCGCGACGCCAAACCAAGGTAAATGTCCGTCAGATGATTACTCTTGCACCGATTCGCCTACTTTTACGACTCAACATGGCTGAATCGCCGGGTACAATTTCTTTTGGCAATGACGCGCCCCTCGTCTGATGAATAATATTGCCGGTGTATTCAGCAGCAAAAGTCAACGAGGAACATCTGTCACATGCTTCTTGGCACTGTCTAGTAGTCAACATTCTACACATTTATTTCATCGTACTCAGCCAAGTAAATTGTACCAGTAGTTTTTGATGAGAAATAATAGCATAACTGAACATAGCTTCAACTAAACCCTACAGTTAATCCCAGGGGTTTTCGTGCGTGGAGAAATGCGAGCAAAAGCACTGGTTAGCTAGAGTAGCAAGAATACATCAGGAGAAAGGTAGAGTAATATGAAGCCGAAGCTGCACCACTCTTCTGTGCCGCTTGCGGGTTGTGATCATGATATCCGGTGTGGCTGGTGGGCGACAGCTGCAGACCAAAGTACGACTACGTAGTACAGCAATTCAACCCTATTCTAAACCATACCAAACACCGCCTCTATGCATAGCCTGGAATTCTGAATCAAGCCAAATACTCCCACCCTCTCAACGCTATGAACGCAGCTTCCCAAGCCCGAATTTTCTCGAAAAGTAAAGGTCCTAGAGGAGTCAGAAAAAATACGAGTGGGAAAAGCTATGAGTGATGAATCACTTACCCAAAAGCCACGAGGAAGAAGCCACGAAAGCCATCTAACTAGATTCGATTGATGGCCACGCCACAGCCATGCTTTGGAGGTTGGCTCGAGTAGGTCGCTAACGACTTTCCGCGCATATGTTTCTGTCGGCATCGCCGTTCCTGGCAAAACATTAGCATCTTACTTAACCCATGGAGTCTCTTTGGCCTACGCTGAGAGTTCCCTTGACGGAACAAATAGTCTTCCTCTATAGGCATGTACAGCGAATTTGGTGGAAGACGCTTCTTGACATCGGATATCCTACTCTTCACACCACCAGTCACGACCAGAACAACTTGAACACTACTCGTAGTCAGTCTCTCGCACGATGCTCGGCTATATGGCAAATACATACCCAAACGGCGCCATCTCTATTCTAAGCGCATCCGTATATGAATGCAGCGCTGCCTTGGACGCATTATAGCATCCTATTCCGCGTCAGCTAACCGGCATATCCAAAAGAAAGAAACGAATACATACCACCGAATACATACGGCACAATACCAGCAACAGACCCTATATTGGCAATCTTTCCTTTCGCTTCTATGAGAAGCGGGGCAAAAGCCTGCACCAAACGAATACAACTAAACACGTTGATTTCGAACACCTTGCGCATATCCTCGATTGTTAGGTCAAGCACGGGGACTGTGTGGCTTACGCCGCTGTAGTATTGCGTCAGCACCTCTCTTCACCCAACTCCCACACGCAACGAACAAAGAAATAAAGTAAAGGGTAGTACAGGGTCCAATTTACTCACACATTGTTAACCAAAATATCAAGCTTTCCATCCACGCGCTCGGAAATCTCATCATGCAGCGCCTGAATACTCGCATCGGACGTAACTTCAAGCTGGATTGCTATGACGCCCTCGCTCACAAGCGTCTTTTTGGCTTCTTCGGATCGCACAGTGCCGAATACTTGGAAGCCGCGGCGGAGGAATTCTAGAGCGAGTTCGTGGCCGATGCCGCCGGGGGTGCAGCTGTGGTAGGGGTTGGGTGTTAGGTGTGTGGCTTTCGGAATAGATAGAGGGGAGGGAGATGCTCAAGGCTCGTACCCCGTGATTAAGGCGGTTTTTTGACGGGTGGTCATGTTTCTTTTGGGTGTGTTTTGCGATAGTGCAAGTGTTGGTGTGGAGTTTCTGGCGGGCCTTTCTCTGGCCTTTGATCTCGTATTGTATCTGTAACGTTTGTATTGTCGATGTGGCTGAAGAAAGATTCAATAAATCAATTTTCTTGAAGAGAAAATGTCGAGTTCATGGAAGAATTCCCAGGAGTATAATATATAGTCATACGGCTTCCGTGGTGTTTTAAGTCCCGGAGGTACGAGTAGTATGATTCGGCGCTCGGGAAACTGGGCAGGCCGACGACGTTTCCGAAGCACCGTCACATCAAGAACAATGCACCCGGCACGTTGATTTATCGCTCTATTTAGACTTCGCTAAGGTAATAAATGAAAAAAAAACAAGGTGCTCTCTGGATGTATAGTGACACTCGGTTCCCATAATGGTCAGGCCTTTTACTACGGCTTGGTTCTAGGGAAACACGGATCTACTCTGACTGAATTGGTTGGGACTAAGCACATCGAAAAGAGGGACGAAGATGAAAGAGGCTGATGACAAGCTATGATGCAGTCTTTATCTCAGTCAGGGTTTGGAGTTCCAGACTGCAATGAAGGGTCTGAAAAGTGGACATCAGAACATAACCCTTAACCCGTACTTTGCCACAAGCTTGTAGAGTATGTATGATATATTAGCTACGGGAATTTCGACTTGATTCAAATGATAATGACCATCGGTTCTTCCACTGCTTCTATTCGCAAAAATATCCAACCTCTTCCATACAAAAAGCCGTCTGCACTCCAGCCTAAAGATGATACTTGAACAACGGACTCCTATCTCCCATCTTTTCCAACTGCGCAGGGGTATATATAGCGCGCCACTCCTCCTCCGTCTTTTCCGCATTCTTCTTATTAATCCTGAAGAACAAGAACTCAAGCGTGAAGGCACACACGAGCCCTGCTGCAGCAAATGAGAGCGACGAGCCGAATCCCGTTTCGTATTTAGGCGACTCTTTTTCCTGGAAAATGAAGGAGCCGACGATGCCTCCTAGGTTGCCGATGCAAATCATGGTTGCGATACTATTTTGAAGAGTCAGTTTTCCATGTTCATATCGGCGTTAATGTCATGATAGAGTGCGAACGACGTACCCGACAGCTCGCTTTTCGGGTCCGGCAAGGTTATTAATGGTCCAGGCATTGCATCCGGGGAGAATAGGGTAGAGGCCGATGCAAGCAACGTGAACTGCAAAGTAACAAACTGCGACGTTTTCCTTGATGGCTTCTGCTTTGGCGAATAGAATGGCGTATGCAATGATGAGAAGAGCCTGTCCGCTAGCGATAAAGGGCATACGCCATGTAAACCGATCAGCAAGTAGGGAAGATACTAATGCTGAAATTGCGCCACATGCATACGGTGGTGCAGTCATGAGTTGTGCGGTCGTACTTGTGAAACCCACTGTTGGGACCATAAGTATTTTTGAATGGATGCGAGCTGGTTGTACGACTTACTGTTCTTCAGAATCTGAGGCATAGTAAATTTTAGTCCGTAGTTTGGTACAGCGTTACTCGCAAAGACCATAGCTTGCAGGTATATCTGCCAGTCTTTTATAACCTGACCGATGACACCCCATTTGACCCTCTTTTTCTTGCCCTCGGCATTGACCTGTCTCTCTCGCTTGAGGCCGCGCGTGACAATGTGTGTGAGGCGAAGGAAGCGCGCTTCGTCGGCTGTGAGCCATCGACCGGCTGCGTGATCGGGCGAGTCTGGCAACAAAAAGAAAACTGAAGCACCTAATAAAACAGTGGCTATTCCTTCCAGAATGAAGATCCATCTCCAACTTCATGCCCAACTATGTCAGTTCTCAGTCTTTCAGCAAGATGCTCAGGGCGACACTCACCCCTCAAGTCCAGCGATACCTATATCCAATGGTCAATTACGCTCGGAAGTTATCGCAGAGAACTTGCATACCATTCATTTTAGCAATCGCAGCAGCCAAAAGTCCAGAAAACGCTCCACTCGTAGCAGACGCACAATAAAACAACGCCATACGGAACTGCGTACGGTCTGGCGGGTACCACTGGCCAACGAGGTAGATAGCGCCAGGGAAAAAACCGGCTCTGTGGTTGCTTAGCAAAGTGTTCCAGTTCACAGTTGTGGATAACGAACTCAAATAAACCAAGGAAAAACCTCGTAGCGCAAAGACCCGCAAGATTTTGTACCAGTCCCATGACTGTCATAACAGTACCCCAGCACAGCGTCAGCGTACCCATGTAGTACGATGGGCGTTTGAACTTTGCGAGAATCATGTTGGAAGGGATCTCGAAGAGGACATATGGGACGAAGAAGACCATGAGCGCAACATTGTAATCTGTGCCTTTCATACCCAGAGTTTTCTCGAGGCCTTCGATCTTGGCGTTGCTTTTGTGTAAAGGTTAGCGGAAGCTTGATATGCTTGCTTGAGCAAAGGGATGTTTCTAACCCAATGTTTGCCCTGTCGAGATGAGAGATGAGGTACAAAATAGCAAGCATGGGACATAGGCGCCAGTCAACCTTGTGGAAAATCTTCTTTTGCTCCGCCTTGTCGACGCTGTAGAGAAATTCTGCATCTTCTTGGCTCAACCCAGCTCTCATTGCCTGGTGCAAATGATCCGGTAAGCCTGCAAGTGATGACTTTTCGTTGGGAACCTCTTCCATGGTATAGGCATGGTCTTTGGACGCAGAATCATCCATTGCGTCGCGCGCCATCTTGACTGTTGTTGACAAAAGGGATGTCGATGGGAAATTCAACAGGCTCCAGCCGACAGAAATGCAAGATGGGACAGCAGAACATTATACATCACCGCGAATCCTTACCCGTAGTCGTGCCACATATTAGCGAGGACTGGCATTATCCCCACCGTCGACCCCTCATGCACGTGGGCATGTGAGCTCACCATGGAAACTCGGCACTGTTAATGCTCATAAGCCGGTACCAGAACTGGATCCGAGAAGCTTGGATAGTGTTAGTGACTTCTTAGTCCCCATATTTATGCATAAGAGTACTAGACTCAATGTAATATGAACGTCGCTGCTACTGAGTGTACTCAGCAAGCCTTAAGCTACTTTCGACTGCCTATGTTATTTAAGAAGAAATCTTCTTTCTTAACCCGAAAGGCTCCGAATCTTACAAAACTCAGTATGGCACATCAGAAATCTCGCTCAAGATGTCCTTCTAAGCCAAATATTTGGATAGTTACTTGTGGCAGGATTGTCCAACGTGGCATGTAAAGCGATTTGCCCTTCCTCGGTTTAGTACCACGTTACGATTTGGCACTTCCCACAATACTGGCTGGACACAGGTGCGAAGCACAAGGGTAACAGTACCCGATCATAACCACCTACCCAATACAGTTCAGTTGAATGTAGCGTTACACAGAAAATTGGAAAACATGGTCTGTGTGATACGGAGAGCCAAGCCCTGGGGTAAGGCGGGGATGGGACGTGGGAGCCTCCTTGGCAGTGTCTTGTCATAACGGTGACTCGGGGAAGATTTTTGCGATCGCGATAACATTGGGCGAAAGCACAGTCGCTTGTCAACTGCCGATGGTTTGCCAAGCCTGTGTCTTCTCATGCTTGGGTTATCGGATGAGCTGACTGACTCGTTGCAGGCTCAGGAGCGGGTAAAGCACCTTGATTTCACTGCGACTCGCTATACTACTCAGGAATGAAGAAAAGCAAGTATTGTACGATGTATGATGGTGGTAAGGCGGCCGGTAGCTGGTCTAAGTACTTCAGATAGTGCCAAGGCGCTATTCCTTACACAGTACATAGGGCTATAACAAACCACACTGCATATTTCCAAGTCGATCGTTGTAAAGATCCTTGTGCTAGCCATTGGCTGTGGAAGTCTCGATCAAGAGGGTAGGCTCGTGCGTTGGTGGTATTTTCAGTGTGGAACAGCCTGACTGTCATACTTGGTAATAGCAGCTTTACTTCTTCAGTAATGTTTTACTACATGTGACCCTGCTCAGGATTATGCATACGCGTATATTGCATTGTCAGCTCACCTTCTTCGTCTCTTCTTTCCAGTGTGCTGCAGTTGGCATATGTATGTGGTATTGTCGTAAATTCATGCCACGTAAGGGTGTTAGCATGCAGGCTGAACCAACAACAGTTGATCTTGTCACAGAATCCTTGTTGTTCCTAGAGTATCAATATCACAACTGGCATCTCAGGGGACTGGCATCCAACTGGCATATGCCATGAATTCTCTCAATCTCCGACACGCGCATAGGAGTCAGCGGTACCGATTGTTATGTCTGCGTGGCGTTGCATGATGGGGATGCATAGTATTGGAACACCTGGGTGGCTTGTTCCTTCCTGGGCTCGCGAGTTTTAGAGCTATTATTCTTCTACTAAATGAGACAAAGGCCACGATCTTATCTTCATTCACATCACATCTGATATCTTATAAATGGAAAAATTAGCCCAGGAAGGGAATACCTGCGGAGATGTGCAGTCAGACTACGATTATGTAGGCACCGAAGGTATAATCATTTCACATCTTGACGGGCGCAAAAAACTAGGATCGGTAACTGAAACCACTGTCTAAATCTTGTACGAATGCTATCACTCATTTGAAATATCTGGGGTGGGTACTGGCCCCACAGGTGGCTTGCTTGTAGGCATGAAGGCCTGGTGTATCGACCTCTTACCCCAGCTAGCAGGGTAGTCGATATTCGAATGGAGCAGGCCATAGCTCCCGAAGAGAACCAAGTCGTGCTCTTCCTCCGGGCCTACCCAAATATTCTCAGGCTTAATAATTCTGCTTTGGATCTTATCCAAAAACCTCCTCACTTCGCCCAAGTCATCAATAATCTTCGGAGTCTCATCTGGGCCGTTGCGAATATATAATCGACGAACCAAGTGATGCATACACTGGAATGACTTCTTGCCGGTAACAGGGTTAACCCATACCAGCGGGTACTACAGCGTTGTTAGTTCTTAATAGCGTAAGCTTCCTCTAAGTATAAACATACCCTCTTTTGCCAATCTTTACTTGCCCCTACGTACTTTAGCAGTTCTTCTTCTGGCTGCTCTCTGCCCTCAGTCACCACGCCTAGGCCGTTCGGTGCATAATGACAGTCCTTGAGATTCTCAAATGGGAAGTAGTTGTAATCAGCCCAACTATGATCTGCCATTCTCTTCTCCTCGTCGCTTAGCATGTCGTACAACTGTTCAACGTCGAGAAACGCCTGACGTCCTGGCCGAACTTCCATAGTCGTACCTGAGCCGTCAGCCCATTCTACAGTTTGCTTATCCAGGCCTTCCGTAGGAAACTTGATCGGTCGGAGAATAGTACACTTTGAAATGCCATGTCGCCAATAGAATCCGTTCATGTACCACACGTGGAAACGGGTACGTCCAGCTTCAAAGTCCTCGTCTGAGAGCGGTACACTGTAGTAATGACTGAGGTTAGCGTCGCCCATGTCTAGACCTGGTTTGCCATAGCGCGGGTCGTCTTGGGGGCCTTTCCCAATGAAGTAGAACAAACCCGCATCAGGAACCTTGATAGCTTGGAAGGAGTCCTTTATCAATGTCAGCCCTTTGCTAGACTTGCTGTGATGTGGATGTTCTAGCCAACTTTCGACTTACCCGAAACCACTGGTGAGGATGAAATAAGTTAATCATGTCGTCGTCGTCCTCAATTATCATGTCTGGATCGAGCGCTCGCAGCAATTCCCAGGAACGCCTCGGTTTAAGGTCATGTTGACCTTTGATAATAAGAAGCTTATGCTCCCAGATCGCTTTCTCTAATTGAGCCACAATTTCTTCAGTAAAATTGTTTAGATCAAGACCTGTAATAACAGCTCCAAACTAAACAAAGTATCATAAGCAGAGGTAATGTATAGTCATATTATAGAGACTAGATGAATCCTACCTTGCATGTCTTCCCTTCAGGATGGACCAGAGGCTCGATCTTGAAGTTGCTCGCCATAGTGTTTAGAATAAGAGACAGGTGTACAAGCTGAGTTTTGCGTGCATAGAATGTCGATTGCAGCTTGGCGATTAATAAATGATAAAATACTCATTTACTCTAGTGATACCATACGTTTTCTTTCTACAGCCCTATTCACATGTTCGGGGAGTTTTATCGACAAATTTAGTAAGTCAAAAGTAGACGTCGGGGTCCGATATGGACTAAAATATACCGAGGCCCGCGACTTGCTTGCAGCCCCAAACATCGCGGCAATTAAGTACATTTCGAGAAACTATATTCATTACCATGATAGTAAAATAGTAGTTTCTCTGAACTAATACGCTTCTTTTATTAATCCGCTCTTATGTACCTCTTAGGCTGTATTCAGAGCGGCTATTATGTAACTAAGCTAAGTACGTGTTGTAGTATAGTACTACGTAATTACGCTTTGAACAAATATTATCATTTTCTCTAATCCAAAACAATTACCTTGTATTATGAATTCCTTAGCAGGAACTGGACTTGGAATTTGTTACACTGTTCTGTAGTTTTTGAAACCTAGCATAAAAAACGTTACTCAATGAAATATCTACATAGATTTAACTAGTCTAGCATTGTGAGCAGCTTATCAAATGCTGTTCTTGACTAGAAAAACAAAATCCCGAATGCCCAGAGCCTCACAACCTTTCGTGAACCGTTCCTCGAACACCAACTACCTGAATACCATCTCCATGCATGCTGTAAGGCACAAAGGTTTTCCGTTCCAGGCCCACTGTTTCTAGAAGGCGATCCCACTCATTCAGCGACCGCTCGCGTGCACCATAGTTGGCCATCATGAGCAGATCAAACGAGGCACCATACCAATGTGCGCCCTCATCGTGAATGATGAGCTCATCCAGCAGAATAACCGAGTCCGGAGCGAGGACCTCCTTAATTTGGGAGAGAATACTAAAGCAGGCTTGATCAGGCCAGTCATGCAGAATATTTCGCAGATAGTAGATGCAGGCCCCCTTAACTGGTTGAGGCTGGGTGAAGTCATGGTGAACAACCTTTAGTCCTTCAATGGCCGTTGCTGAGTCGATAGCTGCCCCGTGGGTATCCTGCAGCACAACACGCCCTTGCAGCCAGGGAAACCTCTTCAATGCCTCCCGGCACTGGTGCCCATAGCCGCCTCCTACATCCACAAAGAGCGTTCGGTGCTCATCCCCTGTGCTGGACTTGTGCATATAATTCTCAAGTGGAAATACATCAAGCCAGCTCTTTTGCCCAACCCGCTGGAACGACATATACTCGTTGAAGGCTTGTTGGTGCCGCGGTCGCTGCGACAACCATTCAAAGAAGTGTAGATTGGTGTTCTTGGAGAGTTGGAATGGGAGGTTTTTGTTATCCTGAGGCTGCTTATACGAGTTCTCTGACATCCACTTTGGTATGGCATTGTACACTGCAATGTTTCTCTCGGTCCTGTATAGCAAAATCAATCATAATACAACGAAGAGACCTAGATCAAGAAGTCAACTTACACATGGAACATGACAGACTCTAGTCCCGACATGGACAAGTAGTGCGTTATATTTGTCGCCCGGTATTTGTCGATATCAACCTGCTCCACCATCCACTGCGTCGCTGCGTAGCGCAGTATTCGTACAAGTAGTGGCTTTTCAACGCCCAATTCGGTGGCCAGTTCACTAGCGCTCATGGACGCCCCCCTTCGCTCAGAAAGGAGTCTCCACAGCCCCAGATTAATACCCACCTGCGCCATGTTGGGCGGCAAGGCACAGAAGATCAGCCGCTGCATAGTATCCCACGTTTGCTCGAGCTTCAAAGAAGCCATTCTAGCAGCTTCAAGAAAGCGTAAGCGTTTTTCCTCATCATTGCGGAGGGAGATGGGGATGTTTCCTGCCGCCAGAGACTCTAGAGAGTCGAGGATAGTATCGGCTGCAATACTATCATGGAGATGAGTGTTTGCAGTTTTGGGTAGAGATGATATCGAAGCCATGATTGCAACTGAATCGGTGATTGGTTGATACAGAAGCTGCTGGCAGGAAAGTTACGACAGTTTTTGATGAGTAGCATACCGAGTTATATGCGAGTATGGTAAAACAAGTAGAAGGCGATATGGTCCTGGATAGAGAAGATCAGTGCATCAATCGGTATGTTGATTCAAAATTGCCAAGAGATTTCTGCATTATCGGTCGCCGAAGCAGTAGTTCTAGAACATCTTGTTTAATTTAGGGATAGCAGTCAGAACTTGAAACAGGAATTCTCGTACTATCATAGCGTCCTCTGCTATGCACCGAAATTGAGGGGAAAAAACCAGCCGAGCTACCAACATGGCAGCTGGTTTAACCTTCCGAGTCAGTGTCTGACCAACTCAATCACGTCTCCCGTAAAACTTCGTCTACCTGGAGAGACAAGGCCCCCAAGAGAAAGAATATCCTGAACCACTCGACGGATACTACTTATTGACCGAACTCTCGCTCCTTCTTTAGTGTTGGTTTGATTTGAAGTCAAACAATCGGTGGGATAGCCTTGATATTGAATTAGTCCAAGGTCGTCAGTATGTATGGCCACAAAATGACGTGAAACACGCGTGTAACGACGTTGGTTGCAGGAACTCAGATATGCATGCGTATCTGCATTTCAACTCGATGATGTCTTGGCTTGTAACCATACCCTCCTGTGCTTTTGACGAGCATGACTTCGCCCAAGCACAATGCAACGCAGCCCAGTCAATTGAACGCCGATGCATAAAAAAGAAAGGTGACCAATATCATCTGTACGGCTGAAAGCAGTTGGGCTCCTTTCCCATTCCCCTGGATTCATTCCCTCCTACATCTGTAGCTTTATAGTCTCCACTTTCTCCGCCACTTTCCTCGCACACTCGCCTACTAAACTTTCACACAGTGCTAGGAGCTGGTTCTTCATCGTCGTATTCTCGCTGACTAGTAGCCCTGACAGCAGCATGTCCCGCAGTCGCTCGAGCACCCCTTGCACCTCGAGCACCCGCTTCATTAGCAGCACCCGCATCATGACTCGCCTATCGGCACCCCGGATCGGCAATGTTCCGCAGCGCAGCGGCTCGCACTCGTCGTCTGCTGGTGGAAGCATGATGTCATTGTTACTCTTACCACCGCTTGTACTGCATGACGAAGATGATTGGGGTGATGAGGAAGTCCCGCTTTCGTAGTTGTGTATGGGCGCCAGTATCGATGTCCACATCGAGATGCCGTCCGGTTTGAGCGCGATGAGAGCCCTGTCAATGGCCTGGCAGATGATGAGCGCCATCGAAGGCCGCATATAGCATGCGTTGGGGCATCTCATCGCGTTGCGGCAGCTGGTGATGAGTATTCGAGACGTAGAGAGGCCGGCCGAAGTCGACGCAGGATATGAAGTAGGTGATGCATGCGATAGGTGGTCAAGGAGAGTGGATGTACAGCTGCATGATATTTTCGATGGAGTACCATGATCCAAGGAATGGATAAATTGTAGTTGTGTCTCTTGTTGCAGAGAAATTTCGTAACTACAGCTTTCAATACTACTGCTACTTGTGGCTGGGATTAGCGGTTCTTCAAGTTGCTGATCCGGATGATGGCGTGGTTCGTGGTTGTCTGGAGTAAGCAGCTCATAGTATGGGAGCCCTTCATCGAGAAGTATGGGTGTGGAAATGTAGAGTTGTTGCTGCTGCTGCTGTTGTTCCCATGTTGCCCCACAGAAACCTGTATCGAGAGTCTCTGGACCAATGTGGAACTCGGGCGACATGGAAAAATGACAATTTCCCATTTCCTTGGAGGTATTGTAATGTGAACTGGTGAGGTCTGGTAGGCCGTGTAGAAAGCTACCATCTAGCAACTGACTTGGAGAGAAACCCGCATTGTCGGAGCCTGGCCCTTGAATAGTCGGCGTCATACTGAGGATGGCAGATGTGTTGGACATCATGCTGTGCGGAGCGACAGGCGCCATCCAAAACGATGCTGAAGTGGTGATGTCAGACTCTGTCGTAGGTGCCGAATCCCCCTTCGAGCTCGCGGGCGCACTATTATCAGTGCTCTGGGAGGGTTTGCTGTTATTGCGAGTGCGTGGTCGTCCTGCACGCCTTGCTGGGCTGTACACACACTCTATGCCTTTCTTCGCACATCTGCGACATTTCGGCCGTTTCTGATCACATCGGATCTTGGACTGCTGACAGCTGTCACACGCAAGTCGGTACTTTGGGGGTTTTTGCGTTGAGGAGCTTCCCTTCACGCTCAAGTCATTCTTCTGACTACCTGATTCGGCGTTGACACTCGTTTGAAAAGTCAGTAAGTAGTCGCGATATTGCGGTACATATGTGTCCTCATAGTCATAAGACATGTGCACATATAGTACATCTTGAGGCTTACTATTCGGCCATCGTATCCATGCAGAAAACAAAATGTACCAGATGACTATTAGTGCAGCAGTACTGGACTCTTGTTCACTATATGATATAAAAGGTCCTCAAATCAGTATACAATCAGTGGTTCTATCCGCTGTGTACCAATCTTCAAACTTCATAAAAGTTGGGCGTTAATATATTATACTGCACTAACGCGATTCCTCGCAATCGATCCTAGTAGATCCTTGTGCGGCAAACTCGATAGTGCTTCGTGCAAATTCCTTGTTGTATCAAATCAATCGAGCGAGCGGCTTGATCCGGGAACGCCGAAACAGCGAGCGACGTTTAAAAGGGCCTTCCTCGGTCGCACGTACTATACACTGTAGTACCAGCATTGGGAGAAGAGACCTCAGGGCCTTACCATCTCGATCTGATTACCGTCTTACGCGGTCGCTTTGCGCGTCGACATGGGAGGCTAGTCAGCTGTTTACGTAGTAAGCTAGGCTACCAAGATAGGCATGAAATACTAGAGTTTTAAAAACGAAATCGATCTCTAGAGCTCTAGCTAGTAGCGTTGAACGACGCTTTACTAAATACTAAGTAAGCTATTTCTATCGCCGTTTTCTAGACGGAGCTCTCAATCCAGTTAACAACCGGTAAACGTAATCCAGTTAACAACCGGTAAACGTAATCCAGTTAGCAAACGATAACGTGGCCGAACACACCCTAAACGATACAAAGGACAGAGCCAGTGTTTCCGGGCCGAAGTGACAAAAGGGCCATATCAGCTCGCACGATTAGATCTGTACACCATTTGGGAGCGCCTGCCGTTGATCTGCACAAGTTCTCTTTACTCCAGCCCTGCGTATGCCTCTTCCAGTTCACTCGTTTGTTGGCCCATCCAACCAATCAGTTGAAAGATGAGATATACCGGAAATCAACCGAAGAAAACTCACTTAAAAGGGCCTTCTTCGGTCCGACCTGTATTTAGGTACATGACCAAGTAAACGTAAGGTCCCCCGTGCTGGTGTCCACGGGCGCTAACGATTACTTGCAGAAGGTGCCTCGCTCTGGGACAGCTGGCCGGATGGCGCACAGATGATGAACGACTAGACTGTCGATGGAACCATCATTCAATTTACGACATAGCGCAATTACTTTCTATCTTTCTGCATGGCTGCAATTCTCAACTAGTCGACTTGCATGCGCCGCCTAGGAAGACAACCTTTCTTTCACCGGCCCACTAAGCATCATCTCCCCGCCGACTGAGGCACGGAAAAGAAGTGATGCACCCATGCAATAAGGACAGATCGTGCTCCAATTCTGCAGCAAGATATGCATATATTGACCATTCCTCCAACTACTGCAGGACTCTTGGCTATTGCGTTGCTTTGCTCTAATTGGACGGCGTATCGAGCCATATGCAAGCCCCATTGTGGACAAGGAGCAGGGGGTATAGTCTTAAAAGTAAGAATGGGACTATGGATCTGATCACAAGAGCTTTTTTGGAGTCTGATCGGAAACGAGACTTGAATGACTTTTCACACCACGTCAAACCCTCGGGGTGCATGTGATATGCAATGATTCAGTTCTTGATTGTAGATGCCGATAGGACGCTATACTTTGGACGCGCTGTGTCGTTTTGATATCAGAGGTGCGAGCCTAGAAAGGTTTTTTGTTGTTCTACAGAGGTAATTGGTGTTTCTAACCACCTGCTTGTCTCGAATGTCTCCACTATGAACCCTGATCCGATCACCCTATCACGTTACATTGCAGACGACCTGCTCTTCCTGAGCTGGATACGATGTGGGTTCGATATTCTGTATTGTGTACGGAGGTGCCTCACAAAAGTTCTGTCCCACGCTAATCTCGGCGCTTCGGCACAACTCTTCTTGGCGCAAATCTCTCCTTCATGCTGAGTAGCTGTACGATCTATCTGTATCTATCGTTACTATGTCTCCTAATACTGATACTTACA